TGCTAGTATTTTCTTGAGGACTTTTGTATCTATGTACATCACCATCATGAATATTGGCTCTAGATTTCTTTTTTGTTGTGTCTTTGGTTTTGATATCAAGGTAATGCTGACCTCATAGAATGAGTTTGGAGAAATTCCTCCAACTTCAGTTTTTTGGAATAGTTTGAGAAGAACTGGTATTAGTATTTCTTCAAATGATTAATAGGATTTGGTAGTGAATTCATCAGGTCCTGTGCTTTTCTTAATAGAACACTTTATTAAAGATTCAATTTCCTTAGTCATGATCGGTCTGTTAAGTTTTCTGTTTCTTCATGATAGAATTTTGGTAGGTTGTATGTCTCTAGGAATTTATTGATCTACTTCCAAGTTTGCTATTTTGTTGGCATATAGTTGTTCATAATAATCTCTAATGATCTTTTTATTTCTGTGCTATTAGTTGTGATGTGTCCTTTTCCATCTCTGATTTATTTGAGATGAAATAAATCATCTTTTTTTCTTTGTGTAGCTTAATGTTCAATTTTGTTTATTAAAAAACAAACTTAATTTTATTCACATTTTATATGGTTCTTTAGTCTCTATTTTATCTGTTTATGCTCTGATCTTTATTGTATTTCCTTCAACTAATGTTGGGTCAAGTTTGTTCTTGTTTTTCTAGTTCTTGTGGTACAACAATAAAATTACTTATTTGAGATCTTTCTTTTTTTTTTTTTTTTTGATATGTATGTTGGAAAAAATGTCACTCTTAGAACTGCTTTTGCTGTATCCCATAGGATTTGGTATGTTGTTTTCATTTTCGTTTGTCTCAAGAAAATTTTTAGTTTTTGAAATATATTGACCCATTGGTTGTTCAGGAGCATGTTGTTTAATTTCCACATATTTGTACAGTTTCTAGTTTTCCTCCTATTATTGATTTCTTGATATGTTTTAACTTACAACAATTTAAGAATTGTTTTGTGGCCTAACATATTCCTGGAGAGTATTTTATTTGCTGTTAACATACTGTGTATTCTGCATCTAGCTGGTAGAATAGTCTTTAATTGTCTATTAGGTTCATTCTAGAGTGTGGTCTGATTGTTGATTTTTTGTCAGTATGATCTGTTCATTGTTGAAAGTGGGGTGTTGAAGTCCTCTAGTATTGTTGCATTGCAGTCTTTCTCTCAACTGAGGTCTATTAATATTTGCTTTCCAAATTTAGGTGAGTCTGTGTTAATTGAGTTTATATATATAACTTTTCTTGCTGTATTGAACTCTTTATAATTGTATATTGGCCTACTTTGTCTCTTTTTACAGTTTTCAGCTTCAGGTCTATTTTATATGATATAAATATAGCCACTCCTGTTGTCTTTTTGTTTTCATTTGCAGAGAGCATTTTTTTCCCATCTTTTGACTTTCAGTCTATACATGTCCTTACAGGTGAAATTAGTCTCTTATAGGCAGCATATAATTTGGTCTTATTTTATTTTTATCTATTTAGCCACTCTGTGTCTTTTAACTGGATAATTTATCCATTTACATTCAAGGTAGTTATTGATATGTAAGGGCTTAGTATTACTATTTTCTAGTTATCCTATAGATCTTTTCTTCCTTTTTTTCTCTTATTTCTTATTTCTTCCTTTTTTCTCTTATTTGTGGTTAGGCACTTTTCTCTAGTAGTAAGTTTTAGTTCCTTGCTTTTTATTTTTGGTGTATCTGTTACAGGTTTTTGCTTTGTGGTTACCATGAGACTTACAAAAAACATTCTATAGTTATAACAACTTATTTCAGAGACTTCCAAATTTAACTTTGTGAAGAAACAAAAAAGTGTACACTTTAACTCCATTCTCTCCTCACATTTTGTATTTTTGATATGATTTACATTTTTATATTACCTATCGTAACAAAGTATTGCAGTTATTTTTGATAGTTCATTTTTTAATCCTAATACTAAAGATATAAGTGGTTTACACATCATGATGATAGTATTAGAATGACAATCATGTTAGCATCCTTTTTATGTTTGAAGAACTTTTTTTTAGCATTTCTTACAGGACAACTCTAGTAGTGGTAAATTCCCTCAGCTTTTGTTGGTGACAGTCTTTACCTCTCTTTTTCTGAAGGAATACTTTCTTGGTTGCAGGGTTTTTTTTTTTTCCTTCAGTACTCAGCATGTATCATCTCACTTCCTTCTGGCAGCAAGGTTTCTGCTGAGAAGTCTGCTGCCAGGTGTACTAAATCTGTCTTATATGTTATTTGCTTCCTTAGCTGCTTTTAGGATCTTTTTTTAATCTTTGAACTCTGAGGGTTTGATTATAATATGTCTTGGGGTACTCTTATGTAGGTTGAATCTGGTTGGTGACCTTTGACCTTCCTATGCTTGGGTATTAATTTTTTTTTTCTGGTTTGGAATGTTTTCTGTTATTTATTTGCATAAGCTCTTAACGACTCTGTCTTCTTGAATTCCCTCTTTAACTCTAATAACTCCAGTATTTGCTCTTTTGACACTGTCCCACAGACCCCATAAGCTTTCTTCATGTCATTCTTTTTTATTCTCTGTGTGTTTTCAAATAGTGCGTCTTCTGGCTCACTAATTCGTTCTCCCATTTGATCAACTGTGCTGTTGAAACCCTCAGTTGCATTTTTCATTTTATTCATTGCATTTTTCAGTTCCAGAATTTGATTTTTTAAATTACTTCAGTCTTTTTGTTAAATTTCCCTGATAAATTTTTGAATTGATTCTCTGCTCTTTCTCAAAGTTTAGTGAGCTTCCTTAAAACAGCACTTTTGAATTGATTCAGAGATCACACATCATTTTAGGCTCGACCTCTGGTATCTTATTTTGTACATTTGGTGAGATCATATTTCCCTGAATAGTCTTGATGCTTGTGGATGTGTGACAGTATCTGCACATTAAAAGATTAAGCTTTTATTCCACTTTCCACAGCCTGGCTTTATTTGTGCCTTTCTTTTTTTTATTATTATTTTTTCCCATTTATTTATTTTATTGCATTTTAGGTTTGGGGATACAAGTGAAGAACATGCAAAATTGTTGCATAGGTACACACGTGGCAGTGTGATTTGCTGCCTTCCTCCCCATCACCTACATCTGGCATTTCTCCCCTTGCTATCTCTCCCCAGCTCCCCACCCCCTACCGTCCCTCCCCTATTTCCCCCCAACTGACCCCAGTGTGTAGTACTTCCCTCCCTGTGTCCATGTGTTCTCATTGTTCAACACCCGCCTATGAGTGAGAACATGCGGTGTTTGATCTTCTCCTCTTCTGTCATTTTGCTGAGAATGATGGTTTCCAGGTTCATCCATGTCCCTACAAAGGACACAAACTCATCGTTTTTGATGGCTGCATAATATTCCATGGTGTATATGTGCCACATTTTGCCTGTCCAGTCTATCGTCGATGGGCATTTGGGTTGGTTCCAGGTCTTTGCTATTGTAAACAGTGCTGCAATGAACATTCGTGTGCACGTGTCCTTATAGTAGAACGATTTGTAATCCTTTGGATATATACCCAGTAATGGGATTGCTGGGTCAAATGGAATTTCCATTTCTAGGTCCTTGAGGAATCGCCACACTGTCTTCCACAACGGTTGAACTAATTTACACTCCCATCAACGGTGTAAAAGTGTTTCTATTTCTCCACATCCTCTCCAGCATCTGCCTGTCTTTCAAAGTGCCTTCCATAAATTCTAAGCCAACTGACTGTTGTTTCCTGGGCCTGTGAACACAGTAGTCATCTCAGCACTAGAGGGCGCTTGAAGCCCAGGCTTGCTGCAAGTCTCCCAAGGGCTCTGTGATTTACACAGTTCTCCCTTCTTGATGGACCCGAGGAAGAACTCAAGGAGGGTACAGGGGTTATGTGGGAAAGCCGGTTAGGGACTCCAGTACAGAAGACTGTTTTAATGGCCCAGATAAGTGTGTCTCCTAGTGGATCCCTGCATGGAATGGATAATTCCTTGACTTCAGTGGCAGGGGATGGAGCTGATATTGGACCTGCTCAGTATCTGCTTTGGGAGGGTGGCTGGAGAGCCCATCTCACTGGCTCAGATAGATGCTTGCCTCTCAGCAGATACCTGTAGAGACAGGATAGTTCCCTGACTGCAATGGTTGTGGTGTTGTGTTTAAATTGAATTCTGCTCCAAATTAGTAGGCTGTTGAATAGGGCTTGGAGATCTGTTTATTACATTGCAAGGTTACTCTTTGTAGTAGAAATTGACTTACATCCAAGAACTTGAGTTCTGCTACTGACTCTTTCAAAATGATTCTGCTGCCTATATTGTTGTCTTACCAAACTTCAAATACTCTTCTTCCTTTTACTTTATACTTCTTTATATTTTTTAGCAGAACTAAATGTTCTCAAAGTGTGGAAGAGGAGAAAGCAAGTCAGGGAAGTTAGTGGAAACAGAAGATAAAATCAAATAATGCAAACATTAGCAAAGAAATCTATCTTATTGCATTTGATTTCTTTTGTTTGCAAGTGCATGCTTTCCAGGAAAATGTGCTGGGGTAAAAGTGTATCTTGCTTTTTAATACTTATTTTCTCAGATGTTAATTGTGAGTTAATGGACCTTTCAATTCCTATAAAAATGAATTTAAATCTGTGTGTTAACACAGCAGGGGCTCATTGCCATAACTAGCCCTTTAAGACTGGAAGGACAAGTAACAGATTTATATTCCTTCTTATTCTGCCCTTGAGGAGTTGTATAATGGTGGTGTGTAGGGGGTCCAGCCTCCTGTTAGCTGAGGTCATTTAATTAGATCTTGAAATGTATTCTCCCTCCCGTTCTTTCTCTACCTGCACACACACATGCTTATATTTATGTATATATTTACATGTATATATATATTTGTATATATAAAGCACCTGTCATGTCAATAGACATGCATGTGTGTGTGTGTATATATATGCATGTATATGTGTGTTTGTGTGTATAAAATATACATGATTTTTGAGGGCATTCTTTTCAAATTAATTAAGTCTAACTTGAAAAACTATTTTTATAAATAACAGAAATCAGGGAGTGGCAAGGACGGTATCCAGCTCTGCCCAAGAGGACATCATCCGGTGGTTTAAAGAGGAGCAGCTACCACTTCGAGCAGGCTATGAGAAAACCTCAGACGCTATAACCCCCTGGTTCCACGGTAAGTGCAGAGATTTTCTCAATGGAGCTTCGTCTCATGGCGGATGAAGCTGTGCTAATCCACCAGGAAGAGAGACAGAATAAAAGCTTCCATTTATTGGTGCTGCCCAAAAAGAGTCTTTTAGGTTATTTTCACAAAGCAGTTTTTCAAAGAGTCCTCAGTAAGCTGCATTCTCCTGACTGTTTAGAAAGCAGTCAGCATTCATGGGCGCTGTGTGCACTGTGGGCAGATTTGTCACCACAAATAAAACACATCAGGCAGGAGGGAAAAGCAGTATTCTTGGTGACTTACCACTAGGGTGCTTGATTGTGACTTCTATCAAATGGCCACATCCTCCGTCCACCGAGGGAGACTCGGTTAGGGGTGCAGGAATGTGCTGGGCAGAATGCTGGCTGAGCAACCTTGAGCAAATGATTGTTTTTTCTGTAGCAACCCAATTTATCTAAGCCTCATTTTCCCTGTCTATTAAATGAAGGAGTTGAACTTTGTGATCTTGTCAGTGAAAACTTCTGTGGTTTTGACCCCTCATTTCCAGCATGTCATTGAGTGTGCAACATAGGTGGTTGGATCTAGAGCAGGTGTTAGTTAGTACACATTTTCTGTATTTGATCCAAGGAACTTGATTCAAGCCCCTCTTCCACCCAGCGGACACTTCACACACCCCTCTGTTTCTTGGATCTCAAGAAAAGTGAGTGGCTTCTTGCCTCAGTTGACTTCCACAAGGTCTGTGGTTGAATTGCATTAACTGGCTTATAGGGACACCAAAAGGTACTTTAAAACAAAAGTACAGCCCCCTCCCAGAGTTTGTCTGTCCTAAGGGTGTCTTGGTTTGAATTATGTATAAGGCATTTTTCCTTGAAGTAGTATCATCTCACACATAGATATACCTCAAAAAGGGCCAGGCACGGTGGCTCATGCCTGTAATCTCAGCAACTTTGGGGGCCGGATCACAACATCAGGAGATCGAGACCATCCTGACCAGCATAATGAAACCCTGTCTCTACTAAAATACAAGAAATTAGCCTGGCATAGGGGGCACGCACCTGTAGTTTCAGGTACTTCAGAGGCTGAGGCAGGGGAATCGCTTGAACCCGTGGTGGCATGTACCTGTAGTCCAGGTACTTCAGAGATTGAGGCAGGGGAATCGCTTGTGTACACACACACACACACACACACACACACCCCTATATAGATACACACACACCACAAAAGGTAAACTCCCAAACCCACAGCATGGCAAACTCTTCTAAAATGAATAGTTATTTGTGATAGGCTTTCTCCTAAAGGGTTGCTTGTGGGTCAGAACATTACAGCAGAACCGTCTGGCTTCTCTTGGAGTATGTGTTCTTTGGTGATTCAGACTTTAAGTGTCCATCCCAGAGGAGTCCCCTCTCCTCCGCAGGACCAGGTCACAAGCCTCCTTCCTTTCTGCTTTAAGACGCTGGGAGAGAGATGATAGTGTCAAAGATGAACAGAAAGAACACAGGCCAATTATGCATTAGCTGTGGCTGTCTCAGCTGTCTGATAATGCCTTACTTTCCTTTTTAGAATAAGCACTGAGGAAATAAGCCACTTTGTAGTTTCTGTGTCTTTGGACAAAAGATGCTGTCATCTCTGATTATAAGGATGGTAGTTTTTTTAACAGCAGGGAGTAAGAAATGGAAAATGTTGGTTGTTATTAAAAACTCTGCTACTTTAACAAGAATTTCTGTTTGAAAGGCTGAAAGCTAGGAAGACATAGACTAAAAATCCATTTGGAACTTTGGTTAAAAATATGACTCTTGAGTTTTACATCAAATAACTTATTGAGGTGCAATTATTATCGATTTATTTTCACTTATACGCATACTTTTCAGACTTATAAGCAAAATAAAAACACTGTATTATAATGTAATAAGCAACACATAGTCACATAGTCAGTATATATCTTTATTTTCAGTTTCGTGAAGATAAAGTTTCACATTTTCATGAGAGAATAAGCATCACATCTTATCTCTTTGAAATGTAATTGTTTATCACCAGGATACCTGTTCTGAAATGATAGGATGGTAACCATTTATAGGTTTATCATCTTCTTTTCTTTGTCACATCTGCCATGAATTACCCTTCATAAGATGCTATTTTGGTTGCTTAATTTTTCACCCTACAAAATTTTATACTTGCATCTTTTTCTCTCAATTAGGCTTAAAGTAAGGATTGGAGTAGGTAGGAGAAGGCAAAGGAATTGAAGACTGTTGGATTTCTGGCTTTTGTGGCTGGGAGGAAGGTGGCTGGGCTATTGGAGAGACGGAACATAGGGGATGAGGAGGGTTAGGGAAGTGGAAAGGAGAACAGAGTGTTTTATTTCACAGCATGGTAAAATTAGTTTAGAGAGTATTGTATGTTACAAAATTATCAAAAGGATAAATTTCCAATGTTCTCGCCAGAAAAAAAATGCTAAGTATTTTATGTGATGGATGTGTTCATGAGTTTGATTTAATTATTCCACAAGTCTATTGCTTCAGACCTATCTCAAGCCACTGTCAGTGGCTTGGTCACCTCTCTGGGCCTCCTTTCTGTCCTTCAGACACACTACACTTGTCCCTACCTTAGGGCTCTTGCATTTGCTCTTCCTGTACACCTTGCTTTGGCTGACTTCTTAAGGAATTGACTCACATGATTATAGAGGCTTGTTAAGTCCAAAATCTGACAGGGAAGGCTGGAGGTGCAGGGAGGAATGGCCATTCCCATCCAAATGTCCCCTGCTGGCAGAATCCCTTCCTGCTTAGGGGAGGTCAGCCTTTGTTGTAGTAAGGCCTTCAACTGACCGGACCAAACCCAAACACGTTATGTAGGATAATCTGCTTTATTCCAAGTCCACCCATTTAAATCTCACCCAAGGCCATTTGCGTTGGCTCACGCCTATAATCCCAGCAATTTGGGAGGCCAAGGAGGGCAGATTACTTGAGGTCAGGAGCTGGAGAGGTCAGCCTGACCAATGTGGTGAAACCCCATCTCTACTAAAAATACAAAAATTAGCTGGGTCTGGTGATGTACACTTATAATGCCAGCTACTGTGGAGGCTGAGGCAGGAGAATCGCCTGAGGCAGAGGGTACAATGAGCCAGGATTATGCCATTGCACTCAGCCTGGGCAATAAAGCGAGATTCCATCTCTAAGTAAATATCCAAAAAAACCTTCCCAGAACCATCTAGAATAATTTTGGGGATCATGGCCAAGTCAATTTGACCCATAAAATTAACCATGGAAGCAGCTTTCTTGGTGAGACTGTGCTGGTTTGCTTGCAATACACAACATTCAGATGAGCAGTTAATTGTCTCCTTTATGAAGCTAGATTTAAGTTCTCAGAGTGAAATCAGACAAAATCATCTCAGAAATCCTCAAAACCACAGGCATGAAAGAGATCATACAGATTTCAATTTTTCCCCTTTCCTTCATAAAAAAGGATTTTTTTCTTATGAAATATTTTAAACACAAAGTACCAAGAAAAATTTAACAACAATGATATAACAAGTGTTATATCTAGTCTCCAGATATAATAAATATCAACAGCCAAATTTACTTCATATCTGTTTTTCTTAAGAAATAAAACCTGCCACCGGGCGTGGTGGCTCATGCCTGTAATCCCAGCACTCTGGGAGGCCGAGGCGGGTGGATCACGAGGTCAAGAGATCAAGACCATCCTGGTCAGCGTGGTGAAACCCCGTCTCTACTAAAAATACAAAAAATTAGCTGGGCATGGTGGCGCATGCCTGTAATCCCAGCTACTCAGGAGGCTGAGGCAGGAGAATTGCCTGAATCCAGGAGGCGGAGGTTGCGGTGAGCCAAGATCGTGCCATTGCACTCCAGCCTGGGTAACAAGAGTGAAACTCCGTCTCAAAAAAAAAAAAAAAAAAAAAGGAAATAAAACCTGCCAAGGTGGTCATGGTGACTCATGCCTGTAATCTCAGTACTTTTGAGAGGCTGAGGCAGGTGGATCGCTTGAAGTCAGGGGTTCGAGACCAGCTGGCTAACATAGCAAAACCCCGTCTCCACTGAAAATACAAAAATTACCTGGGTGTGGTGGCAGGCACTTGCAATTCAGCTGCTTGGGAAGCTGAGGCAGGAGAATTGTGTGAACCCAGGAGGCAGAGCTGGCAGTGAGCCGAGATGGCACCACTGTACTCTAGCCTGGGCAGCCGAGTTAAGACTCCATCTCAAAAATAAATAGGTAAATAAATGAAACCTACCAAAGAGAATTGAGGTCCCCTTTCTTCTTTTTGATCCCATTTCCTTTCCTTGGTTTCTTCTCCAAGGGTGAACTGCTCTTCTGAAGCTATGATTTCCACCCATATTTTATGCTGTAAACATATATATTGTAATAAAATATACAGTATTGTATTTAACATTTAAATGGCATCATGTTACATGTAATGCGTTCTCCCAATATTGTTACTGGGATTTGTCCTTGTTTATACATATAGCCAGGCTCACTAATTTTTACCTATCATGTAGTGTTTCATTATACATATATAAAATACACACATGTATCATTATTCATCTCTTCTCCTACATTGGCTATAATTTTTGTGCTATTACAGAAAATGATGTGGTATGCACCCTTGAACATGTCTTAGTGTAAACATATATGATCATTTCTTTGGAATATATATCTAGGAGGTAGGATATATACATCTTTAATTATACTGCATATTGCTAAATGCCCATGAATCTGATACCAGTATATACTCCTACCAGCTGTACTTGAGACTTTCTCTATGTACTTGCCCATTCTTGATATAGCCAGATTTTCATTTTTCCTTACTCTGTGGGTGCACAATGGAATGTTTTTTTTTTTTCTTATTTTAATTTCTACTAATTTATAGTGAGATTGAGCTCCTCATATTTTACTGGCTGGATGAGTAAGTCTTCTGCAATTACTTGTACAGATCTTCTGACCATTTTTCTAGTGAATTGATTTTTTATATTGACCTATAGGATTTTATATATTCTGGATAATGA